TTACCGCCTCTGGACGTCCCGGGTCTCCAAAGGGCCGTCCCCAAACCACTCCTGCACCCGAGGAGCCTGCAAACGAAGCCTTTTCTCTTCCGCTGCAGGTTTGAGATCAAAAACTCCCAGTTCCATTATGAAGCCCGCAAGAATAACGAGCTGCTGAGGAACGGCCCAGATGTGCAGTCGGTCTGCAAGTACCGGGAGGAGCTGGCGACCGCCTCCAAGGAGTTCCAGCAGCATCCCAGGTCCACCTACCCGGAGATCCTCTGAGAAAAGATCGAGGCAGGGGGCTTCACGAACCTGCGTCGGGTGGCAGGACAGCAGGCTGTGCGGTGCTCCAAGCTGTCCCTTTGTTACGGACGATAGAGACGATCGAAGTTGGTAAGTGAATGGAAGGTTCTTCGCGGCGACGCTTTGGTGGCCGCCGGCGCCCCAACTCAGCTGCGGCTGAATAGGAGCCCACGCCAGTGTGAATGTGGACAAGATTCCCAGCGTGGTTCCAAAAGTCCCGTTGATGTTTCCCCCCAGTTTGGGGCAGCTGTATTCTGCCCCCTTGGAGCTGGTTGATGCCTTGGAAGACTGTCATGACCCAACCTGCTTGGAGTGTACCATTCTAGAACGCAAGAGGGCGACTGCACCGCTGAACGCTCCCCCACATTATAAACGTCCCGCTTGCAGAAAGTAAAAACGAAAACGGACAGAAGCTTCAAGCGCTGTATCTTTGGCGGGGCTGTACCACTTTGGGCCACGGATGCGGCACTGACTGTTAGGATGCCCTGTACATTGTGAAAAGGAGTATGTTAGCGGCAAGGTTCTAAGCGGCCCTTTCCCCTGACAAGCTAGCTTTCTATGTGCACGTTTGGGATATGCGGGGATGCATTCTTAGCATGAGATAGGACGGCCCGGCCACTGATGGGTTAGACGCAACTCACATGTTTTCAACTCTTAGGCTCAACAAACCCTTGCAGATCAGGGGGGAAAATGGTTTTCTGGTGTGGAAGAAGATCTCCCCTCCTCCCAAAGATGGCAGAGAGTAGGATTTGGGGAAAAAAGAAATCAATTGTTTCAGTCCCCATAAATTGTGTTTTACATTTTCAGCTTGGTGTAGCTTCATTTCCCTCTCCTCTGTCTCCAAAATCTGAACAACAGGCTTCTTGCAAAAGCCAGTGCAAGTGGCTGCCCATCCGCATCTTTGGGGCTCCCTCCATGAGGACAGAGCAATGGGACCTTCCCCTCTTTCTGTTGGCCTGGCCTTTTTCAGAGACCTCTGTGATTGGAGTACACGCAAAGCTCGGCTACTGTCATAGGGCAGGTGGAGCCATGCATGTTCTTGTGAGTAGTGAGAGTCCAAGCACAAGAAGCTGAGAGTCCAGTTTCAGAGTCAAGACCTGAGAAAGACGCTACCAAAGGGTTGTCTAAAAGGTGTAGTCAGGCAGACCAAAGGTTCCTCACAAGCAGGGATCACAGAGACAAGGTCAGGAGCTAGTCTGGAGTCACACGACCAAGGCTTAGTCCAATGCAGCAGTCACAAAGTCAGCGGTAGAATGACTTGGTTGCTTCCACGCCTAACAGCCTCTCTTGGCTGGTTTTTATAACCCTGTGCCTAAGGGTCAAACTTGCAGCCAGCTGCTCGGGAGTAATCCTGCAACTACTCAAGCAGCTGGTGTTGGGTTGGGAGGCGAGCACTCTGCCATCTCTCCTGTAGTTCTGTTCATAGCCTCCGTCTGCGGCTCTCAAAGGGTGTCCATTGGAGGGTTGGAAATGATCAACTGTCGACTCAGGGCTGGAGGCTGTGGGTGGCTCTGCACCGACTGTAAGCTGTGGATCCTGACAAGCCTACAGCTCATCTTCCTGCCAGCTTCTGCTGACTCAGAGCTGGCTACACGGGGCTCCTCTTCTCCTGAGGAGTCCTCGCTGAGCCCTGACTGACCCATGACCAATGCTCCCTCTAAGCTGTGGAGTCTTGTGAGCAAAAATTCTACTTTGTGAGCTATCGGCATTCAAGTTGCGAGCGAGCGATTTGGCTCCTGCATCAATTAGTTTGCTCTGGAGCCCTCCTTCCTCAGTGAAGACAAAAATGTGTGAACCGGAGGCTAAAAAACCGTGGGCTAGCTCACACTAACTCAGCTTAGAGGGAACACTGCCCATGACAGGAATTCCACTCTGCAGCCCCCCACCCACCCTATACATTTTGCTAAAATAATTATAATGGGCACAGTGGTCCCCCCCCCTCCGGCCACGGCTGCCTACTTTGAGTAGGGTAGCCAGACCCCCTCGGTGGAGGCAGGGGTCCCTCGCCAACAGGCCCTGCACCCCAGCTGCCCATCAGCTGGCCTGCAGTGGGGCCTACCTGAAGAAAGAGAAAGGCCCAGGCAGACCCATAGCCAGGATTATTTTAGTTGGGGGGGCATTTAAATTTCGTGGGGGGCACTGGCTAATATAAAGAAAGGTAATTTACTCTGGCCCCTTGCACTGGACACCTGTGCAGAAATACCCGGCGCCTTCCCTGCACCCGCGGCCACTCAGGAGCCCTGCGCTGAATGGGAAGTCGGGGGGCCTAGCCCTGAGATGCCCCACTGTAGCTACGGGCATGGGACCAGGCCCTGTCACCGCACAGGAAGTGACATCACCACGCCAGCGATATCCAGAGAACATTCTGATATTTGGGCAAAATCCCGATGGTAGAAGCCAGTTCTACCATGGAGTCTTTTGCCCAAGTACCAGAGCACTGCCTGGACATGGCTGGTGTGATGATGTCATTTCCCGTGCGATGCCAGCAGCAAGACCTGGGGCCTTTCTCTGGTATGTCCCCCCCCCCACCAGTTGCCGGGTGGGGGGACCTGGCAACCCTAGCTCTGGGTTAGGAACTTCCTGGAGATCTGGGGGTCGAGCGTGGGGAGGACGGAGTTTGTGGAGGGGAGGGGGTTCAGCGGAGACGTGATGCCACAGAATCCTCCCCCCTCTGAAGCTGCCATTCTCTTCCTCGGAACTGTCCCCTACAGTCTGGAGATCAGTCGTAATTCCGGGAGATCTCCAGGGCCCTCCTGGAGGTTGGCAACGTTACCCCCAGTCAGCTGTCCTCCCCCCCCCCTTATGTGTTTTGCAGCCGTGTTAGTAACAGATGGCCTCTCTCAAAGGGGCGTCTTGTCTTTGACTACACTGCAGCCAAGGGCTGCTCCGTGTTTCTCCTTCTGCACTCTCCCCCCACAGGCCATTTTCTGCCAAATATCCCCCAACCTACAAGTTTCTCTTCTCCCCACGGGGAAAAGATATGGGGCCCCTCGGGGATTCCCCCCCCCCCCCCCGCGCTGCAAATGCCATAAACAGTGAACTCCGGGAGGGAGAGGGATTTAACTGACCCGGGGCGAACTGCGTTCTTGGCTCGGGTCCCGGATTCAGATCCATTTCTCACATCGGCTTCACTGTAGAGGCCAAATCGACGGCCATGCGGAAGACGGGACAAGCGTCACCCGGGTCCTATCCCTTCGCGCTGTGGGAGGGGAGAACCTCTGGATTTGATCGGGGAAGGCGGGTGGCGCTGAACTATCTGGAATCCCCTCCTAGCTGCTTTCAAAGCCGCCTCTCTCTCCAACTCTTCCGGGCATATAAAGAAGCGAAACACTTCTGGTGGGAGGAGGCGTTTGGGTGGTTCTTCATCCATTCATTGTTACATGGCGGGGAGGGGGAAGAAAAGGGTGGAAAATGTCACCCCATTTAACTCATTTGGACCTCACAGCCCTGAGCTTTTCATTTCTTGAACTGTTCTCAAGAAGAAGAAGAAAAGAAGAAGAAGAAGAAGAGGAGGAGGAGGAGGAGAAGAAGAAGAGAAGAAGAAGAAAAGATTGGATCTCCTTTCCTTACACTCTCCTTTCCTTTCCCCTCTACATAACGGACACTCTGTGAGGTAGGTGGGGCTGAAGAAGAAGAAGAGATTGGATTTATATCCTGCCCTTCACTACCCAAAGGAGTCTCAGAGCGGTTTACAAACTCCTTTCCCTTCCCCTCCCCACAACAGACACCCCGTGAGGTAGGTGGGGCTGAGAGAGCTGTTGACAGAAACGGCTCTTTTTCAAGAACAGCTCTGGTCAGAGCTACGGCTTGCCCAAGGTCATCCAGCCAGGTGCGAGTGGAGGAGTGGGGAATCAAACCCGGTTCTCCCAGATTAGAGTCCGCGCACTTAACCACTTAACAGAGCTCTTTCGAGAACTGCTTGTAAGAGAACAGCTCTGAGGAAACTTGTGACTGACCCAAGGTCATATCAAACCCGGTTCTCCCAGATTAGAGTCTGCGCTCCTAATCACTACACCGAACTGGCTTTCCCAGCTTAGTTTGCAAGATCTATCGGGATCAGGACTGCCTGACCATCCAAGTCAGGGCAGACAAACAGAGGCGGTTTGCCATGGCCTGTCTCTGCATAGCAACCTCCTCGGTCTCCCATCCAAGTCCTAACCAGGACCGACCCTGCTTAGCTTCCGAGATCTGCCCAGATCGGGCTAGCCTGGCCCATCTAGGTTACAGCAGCCTATCCTTAAAAGGGGGCAATTAATTAAGGATGTGCAAACCCCCCCCCCCCATCCAGCGTTCCAGCCAGAGGTACCAACTGGACAGGTAGTGGGGCAGAAGGCAGGCAGAGACGCCAGTCGGAGAGTGTCCCTTCCAGTACGTGAGATGTGAGATACCCCGACTGAGGCCAGGCATGCCAACTTGACAGGACCAGACGGAAGCTCATTGGCCCCTTCTGTCACCTGACCCATCGCCAAACATGTTGCTGCAGTACCCCACTTTGGCCATCTGCAGTGGAGGCGCTAAAGAGCAGCTGGCAGCGCCTTCCTCCGGCGAGCTCTCCCCAACAGCTCAGGGAACAGGATCTCGCTGGGGGGATTCCTGCCACTTTATCACGGGTAGTCCTCAGCCTTTCCTTTAGGCCACCTGGGCTCGTCTCCCTTTACAACAGGCCCCGCGCTGAACTTATTTTTTCGCTGCTCCAAAAGGAAGCCTCTGCCAGGTCAAGGGATTCTTTATTCTCCTGTTTAATTCGCCGTCTTCCGGAGGATGTGTTACAACAGAGGGGAAAGCGACCGTTACCACATTGGATCCAAAACTACATGGCAGAGTTGAGGAAGGTCCGGGAGGGAAAGGGCTTCCGGTTTACAAGACATTACCAAGAAGGGCCGGTAGAGACTAAGTTCTCAAGCTGCATTTAAAGAAAAAAGACACAACAAACTGCTATTTTAATTTGAGCCGGCCTGGTCCCCGAGGATTCATATTCATCCGCCTCGTGCCTGTGAGAACTTCCCCTCCCGCCGAACCACAGCGCAACCCGGCTCAGGGTTACGCAACAGGGTGGACACTGTCTTGTAGCAATTACATTTGGAATTGAAGCTTAAAAAGGGCCTGACTGTGAGAGCCGGGTGACTCCGTGTCCTCCTTTCCTCAGCTGAAACAAAAACACAGACACAAATAAATAAGAGTACATTTAAGATAACGGGAAAACCCCCCCCCCAGTCTTTCGCCCGCAAGGAAGAGATTGGGAGCCAAACAGCTGGTCGTGGCCGGTGGAATCCATCCTCTAGGCCGAGCCGTTTTCCTCGACGTCGAGCAAAGTTTTGGGAACGGGTGGCCACTAGAGGGAGCCAGAGTGCTTTGGGGGGGATGGAGGAGGTCAGGGGGAGACGAATGTCCTCCTGGTATGGGACCCCGGCTTCTTCCTTCTCGTCCTGTATTCTCCCTCTGCTCTGCAGAGGGGCGTCTCAATCCAGGGGGGGCTCAGGCTCTCGGTCGATGTCGATAGCTTCTCACCTGCGAGGCTGGAATGGGGATCAAGGAGGAGGGGGTCAGTTTCACGGTCTGAACGGCTTGGGATCTGCCGCCCACTTAACCAGGGGTTTTGGGGGAGAGGGGAGAGGGGTGCCGGAACTCTCAAGAGGGACATGAAAACTCACGAACTTTTAAAACAGTTTTAAAAGAATTTCGTCGAAGAGGTTCCTGAACTCCGTTCTGGCGTGTTCCCCCAGGAAAAAAAAGCCCTGCCCTTAACCATCACAAACAGGTTTAGAGATTACATGGACCAGAGCTATTTTTGGGCAGGAAGGCACAGGAACGGAGTTCCGGCTGGCTCCTGAGTTGGCCACGCCCAGCAGGAACTCATTAGCATAATAAGTGACACCTAACAGCAGACACTCATTAGGACTGGCTACATTAGAGGTGTGTGGCCTAACATGCAAAGAAGTTCCTGCTACAAAAAAAGCCCTGGGTTTTGTCAACAAAGTAAACAGAATAAGAAGCAAAAGGTGGGTGTGGTTGGATGACTACACTTCTGGTAACATATGGGGTGTGGCCTAATATACTAATGAGCTGTGTTGTCAGGGGTGTGGCCTAATACACTAATGTGTTTCTGCTGTTGGGTGTGGCCTATTATGTTAATGAGTTCCTGCTGGGCTTTTTCTACAAAAAAAGCCCTGACGTGGACCTTAGTCTTTCTCAGTTAATTTTTGGGTTCGTTCCAAAACTCTGGGGTTGCCAACCTTTTTGAGCCTGTGAGCAGCTCTGAAATGTTGACCCAAGATGCCAGACGCAATGACAAAATGGCTGCTGCAGGAGGTGGAACCCAGAATGGATTCATTATTATTATTTATTATTATTATTATTATTATTATTATTATTATTATTATTATTATTATTATTATTATTATTATTATTATTATTATTATTATTTTCATTTTCATTTTCATTTTCATTTTCATTTTTATTTTCATTTCTATACCACCCATAGCTGAAGCTCTCTGGGAGGTTTACAACGAGTAGAAACAATAAAATGCAATAGATCAAAACATTAAGAATTTCAAATTAATTTAAGATAACATAAAGACATTGAAAACAATGGGCCTAACCCAAAAAGGCCTGACCCAAAGTGAAAAGAGAGCACTTGGTTAATCCTATCGGGGGCCCTGCATGACCAGGGAGGTCTTTAAAGGCCTCCGCAAAGAGGGCTGTCTTAACCTGGTGCCGAAAAGATGGCAAACTTGGTGCCAGGCGGGCCGTAGCAGGGAGTTTGTTCCAAAGACGGGTGGCCGCCATTGAAAAGGCCCTCCTTCTAGTCAAGGAGCAAGGTGATACAGAACTGTAATCGTATCTTGGCAGGCACCAGGAAAGGTGCTGGAGAGTGCCCGGGCACCCACGGGCGCCACGTTGGGAATCATTGCCCTAGTTACTGTGCTTTGGATTGCAACCTAGACACTCTCCCAGCTCCCAGGCAGAGAGGCATTGCTTCTGGCACGCCACTAGAGGGAGCTCCATCATTAAACTCTACTATTCCTCTCCGCACGCACAGCCGGTTATATTGGCCCATTCTGCATCTAGCATTTGCTCCGCTGTTCTACCAAACCCACGCTGGAACAGAAATTCCCCTCTGCAGTGCATGCCACTTTCACTTTGGTTGATTGTCGGATTTGATGGCAGCGTCGAGAATGCCTGCCGCTTTCACTTTGTTTAATCTCTTGGTTTTATGGTAGCCGTCTGCATAGATTTATGGCCGTTTTATGGCCATTCAGGGGTGACTCCGCAGTCAATACGGCGTTGTGCTGTGGTGTTTGAATGTAGTTTTGAGCAGCATCCTTTTCTGTTTTGGGTCTTTTCCGCATTTTGCTGAGACTTTGGATTTTCTCAGTGTTCACATCGAGGCCATTTAATAAGGGCAGTTCTGCATTTGGCATTCACTCCACGTTTTATCAACTGGGAGGAGAAAGTGCTGCTCAAAACCACATTCAGATACCCCGGGCCAATGCCGAACTGACTGCAAAGTCGCCCCTGAATGGCCCTCAAACGGCCATCGATCTATGCAGACAGCTACACATTCAGATACCCCGGGGCCAATGCCGAACTGGCTGCAAAGTCGCCCCTGAATCGCCATAAAACGGCCATTGATCTATGCAGATAGCTACCATGAAGTCCGATGATCAAAGGAAGTGAAAGCAGCATGCGATGCAGAGGGGGGATTTCTGTTCCAGCCTGGGTTTGGTAAAACAACGGAGGGAAAAAGCCAATGCAGAATCAGCTCTACTGTGGGTTTGGTAAAACAACGGAGGGAAAAGCCAATGCAGAATCCGCTCTACTGTGGGTTTGGTAAAGCAACGGAGCAAATACTAGATGCAGATCGGGCCGTTCTCAAGTCCCTAAGAGATGCTGCCGTTTCCCTCCTTCCTCAACCCTTTCGCTCGAAACACCAAGTCGGCAGCTCCAGGGTACCAGACTCCGCTCCCGCCCTTTTGCAGGAGAGAGAGACACACCCGTGGGCCCCAACTCACCCGGCTGCATGCGCACCATCCGACACAAGCCCTTCCCGGGAAGGTTCTTGTACACCGGCTTGACACACACTTTGTTGGTGCTGCCCGCGGTCAGATTGGACAACAGGACGCTGTGGATCTGCGGCGAGACACTGAGGAGGTTGGAGGGGCCTGCCTGCCGCCGGCACCTGACCCGGTAGCCGAGAACGTCGCCCTCGGCAGGGTCCCAGGAGGCCTTCAGGGTGCTGGGGCCCAGGTCTTCGAAGCGGAGGTGCTTCACCTTGGAGTTTTCTGATCGACAAAGCAGGGGGAAAGAACACACATTTGGGTGATCTTCTACAACAGGGGGGGGGAACTTTTTTGAGTCTGCGGGTATCTTCAAGATGCTGACACCATGTGGTGGGCACAGACACAACATGGTAGCCGAAGGAGGCGGAGTCAGTCACACAGTGGCTGCTGCAGCTCGCCTTCGGTCACACAGGGAAAATCTTGCGCTGTGGTGGCAGCCGCCGCCAAAGCGACACTTTAAAAAAATCTGCACTGCCAATCACATCTCCCGTGACCACTCAGAAGAGTGAAGAATGTGAAAAGAGCCCTGCTGGATCAGACCAGAGGTCCATCTAGTCCAGCATCCTGTCCCAAACAGTGGCCAAGCAGCACCTCCGGAGGGCCAAGAACAGGGCATGGAGGCCGAGGCCTTTGTAAGAAGAACCTGGCTGGATCAAAGCAATAGTCTATCTAGTCCAGCCTCCTGTCTCACACTGCGGCCAGCCAGTTCCTCTAGAGGGCCAACAACAGGGCATAGAGGCCAAGGCCTTCCCCCAATATTGCCTCCTGGCCTTGGGATTCAGAGGATTATTGCCTCTGAATGTGGAGGTTCCCCTCCGTTGCCACAGCTAGTAGCCATAGATAGACTTGTCCTCCATGAACCCATCTAATCCCCTTTGAAAACTGTTTATTCCCGTGGCCCTCACTATATTCTCTCGCAGCGAATCCCGCATTTCCATCACTCCCTGCGTAAAGTGGTATTTCCTTTTTGTCCGCCCTGAACCTACTGCCCATCAGCTTCACTGGATGCCTTCAAGTCCTAATCTTTTGGGAGAAGGAGAAAAAGTTCTCCTTGTCGGCTCTCTCCACCCCATGCCTAATTTTATAATCCTCTATCGTGCTTCCCCCTTGGCCATCTCTTCTCTAAACAGAATAGTCCCCGGGCTCTTCGGCCTTTTGTAATAGAGATGGGACTATATAGATTTTCCTCTCTTTTTTTGATTATTCACATT